GCAGAACCGCTCTGCACACCCAAGTGTCCAAAGCCACCTGGCTCATCCCAGACTCCAAACAAAGGCTGGTTTGGCTTCCCCAGCCCAGGCCAGGCTGGCTCCTCACACAGCACACAGATCCCCTGGCAGATCCCCTGGCCCCAGGGCACTGCAGCGTGGCACAGGGCTCTGCCACCTGCCCCAGGGCCACGGCACACACACGGCTCCAGAGCCTGCAGGGATTCCCCGAGAGCTGCAGCTCCAGCAGGAGCCACAAATGGGAACAAATCAAGGTGCTCTGGCTCCTTGCTCCAGGCTCAGGTGTCCAAACATGAGACTTCAAGTGGCATTCGCTTGTGGCATTGAAACAGATACAAAAAAACCCTCCCAAGGAATAACAGAACACTTGGCAAAAGGCACATGCTGCACAAAAGAAAGGCTGTTCCTTAAGCAGAGTCCCAGCTATCCAGCAGTGATATACCAGCAGTATAATCTTAATTAGCCAATAAAAGTTTTTAGACAATCTGTCTAGACTTGCTTTTGCCTGGACATAAAAATGGCTTTAAAAGAAATATATAAACAGCAATGAAACATCAATGAGGAGCTGTCAGAGAAAGCTCCCTGCTGCTCTACATCTGCACCCTGCTCTTCTTAAAACACGAGCATTTATGTGAAATCCTTCAGGTTTTTAAGCACAAAAGCTGCTGTGTTTGGGCTCGGAGCACTGCAAGCTCGAGTCCCTGGCTGCTGCTACACGAGCCCAGAGCAGCACAGCCCTTCTGGAGAGCTCTGAGCAGCACAGCCCCACAGCCTGGAGGGAGGCAAGCCCTTATAAACAACCACTGAGAAGGCCTTGCAAATAATGACAGAGAACAGCCACGTCTGGGAGCTCCTGGGTTTGTCCCTGCCCAGTCTGGGAGCTCCTGGGTTTGTCCCTGGTCAGTCTGGGAGCTCCTGGGTTTGTCCCTGCCTGGTCTGGGAGCTCCTGGGTTTGTCCCTGCCTGGTCTGGGAACGCCTGGGTTTGTCCCTGCCCGGTCTGGGAGCTCCTGGGTTTGTCCCTGCCCAGTCTGGGAGCTCCTGGGTTTGTCCCTGCCCGCTCCAAACAAGCAGGACAGGAGTGGGACCAAAGGACAGCACAGGGACACTCGTGAGGACAGAGAAGGGAAAGAGAACCAAGTCACCCGGGGCTCTTCCAGCACCCTCTGGGGGAAGAACCTGTCCCAAAATCCAGCCCAAACCTCTGGGGCACAGCTCCCCTGGACACACTCAAGGACAAGGTGTCTCACACAGCTTGGTGCCTGCCTGGATACACAGGGGGCTCATGGCAAACACAGAGCTAAAGGCAAAAACAAGAGAAATTCAAGCCTCTGTTGAGAAATGCTGCTGGGGAAATAACTCTGCTTCTGAGGGCAGGAGGGGCTGAAAATCAGAGTGGTTGGGGTTGGAAGGGACCCTGAACCATCCCTGCAGGGAGTGGGGTGGGGCTGGGGGCTGCAGCTTCTGTCCCTGAGCAAACCCAGCTCCTGCAGGCACAGAGCTGTCCCCACCTCACTCAGGGACAGAGAGGGCTGCCAGCTTGCCCAGAGCCTTCCCCAGAGCCTTCCCCAGAGCCTTGCCCAGCCCTGCACGTCCCCAGCTGAGCTCTGAGCACACTGCTTGTCCCCTGTGCCCACCTGCCCTGCAGACACAGCCAGCCCTGAGCCAGCCTGGGAGGGAGGAGGAGGAGGGACACACATCCTGCAGAGCAGCCCAGCAGTGAGAGAGCAGCAAAACCCCACTCAGCTGTGAAAATGGGCCATTTGGGGAGAGCAGAACATTAATAAATGCACTCCAGATCCTTCATTTATCTGTTAGGAGGCATTCAAGTGGTCTTTTGCTAACGACTTCAGTATATATATTTCTTACAGATAGCAATTAACCTTCTGGTACAGATTAATCTTTTAAAAAAAATCAAAGATGAATTAATCTTTGAAAATCAAGTATTCAGTAGTTTCATTAATAATCTGAAATTGTCCTTTAGATTTCCCATAATTAGACCATTCCCCTAATTTATTAATCCCACAGACTGCAGAGCATGTTTCAAATCTTCATCTCCTGCCACAATGACATATTCAAACTCGCTTGAAGTGCTCATAATAAAAGTCACTTTGTGAAGAATTATTAACTCAGAGGATCAAGCAAAGTCTTTATGTGCCAAAGCATATTTGAAAACTAAGCAGGGGAAGCGCTGTCTACTGATCCTCAGATTTCCTAAGATCCCAGCTGATCAGAAACAAGTTTGGATGAAACACTGCCTTTAGGGTAATTATGCCGCTCCAGCCTGGAGGCCACAGCCAGGAAATGTGCTGGCACCTGCGGAGCAGACCTTCCTTTTGCCAAGGGAAGGTGGTTGTGAGAGGCCAAGAGCTCTCCAGGAGCTGACAACCACTGCTCCCTGCTGGGAAATTCAGATTTGGGCTGCATTCCCTCCAGCCTGGGCTCTGGCAGGGAGAGGCAGGCAGGGGCTGTGCCCCCAGCTCTGCCCCCAGTGCCAGCTCCAGCCCTTCCCTGACCCTGCCAGGGCTGCTGACTCCCACTGCCCTGGGCAGCCCTGCCAGGGCTGGCCAAATTCGCTCAGGAGTTTTCATTAATCCCCCCCGAGCTCCCCCTGGGCACCTTCCTCTGCTCCTGCCCCGTTCCCTGCCCCATCCAGCTCCGGCTCCTGCCAGGGAGGCTGGGGAGCCATGGCACAGCTGCCCCAAGGACCAGCAGGAGTCTGAGCTCACTGAGGATGAGCTCCCAGCCCAAAGCCAGGGGACAAGCCCCACTCCCCCCAGGGAGGTCAGGAGCTGCATCTCCAGGCAGCACTGCTCCACCAAACCTCCCAACAACAGGATCCTCCTGCCTCCCCAGGCTGTGGAACCTCCGGGGAACTGCTGCAGGGTGTTAAATCCCCTCAGAACTTCTCCTGAGCTGCAGCTGCGTGCACAAGGAGCTGAGCACAGCCCTAAGCAGCGCTGGGATGGGATTATCCCAGCCTGGCTCTGAGGAGGAGCTTTAGGCACCATCCCTGTCAGCGCCTTCATCCCCCAGGCAGGACCTGCATCCATCCCCCTGCACGCACACGGAGCTGCAGGCACGGCACTGCTGGGGCTCAGCTCTGCTTCTTCTGCAGGAGCCTGAGTTTGTGCTGGCTGCACGGACAGCTCATGGAATAAATGAAAAACCCCAGAAAATGGGATCTGTTCTGCAGCCAGAGCCTGTCCTTCACACAGGGAACACATTTCGGGTATGAGTTTGCAACAGTGGATATTTGCAAATAAAGTCAATTTTAAATTCCAATGAGCGCTGGCATTTGTCACTTCCTGCTGTATTAAATCCAAACCCATTTGCTTTAATACCACATAAATATGCATTTGTAGGAACAGAAGAATTTATGCAAATGTGGGTTCCTTCAGTGACACCAACTAAGGAAACAATCCCAGCTCCCCCTCTGCAAACCCATCCTCTCAGCCCAGTAACTTTCCCTGCTGGTTCCCTGGAAGATGCTGCCAGGGGGGATGATCAGTTTGGGACACTTTGGGACCCAGCTGGGCCTGGCCCTGCAGGCAGAGCTGTGGGAGCAGCCCGGGCACAGGGAGCCCCTGGCCTGCCCTGGTGTGGGAATCCAGGGCTTCCCTCTGGGACCCTGGCAGGGGTCAGGAACCCCCCTGGACAGAGCCCCCAGAGACACTGTCTGTGATCTCTGTCCATGGAAAAGAGTTTTCAATCTTACAGGATGAATTACAAGCTCTGAGTGGTTGATATAAGTAATAATTAAGTGTGGCACGGGTGCAAAAGTAAAATTTTAGGATTCTAGATTAGGGTTCAAAGGGGACAAGCTGGAGGAAATTGGGTGTGCCTTGTCCTTTTTCTCCTTCTTCATGCCCTCCATGTTTCACTGTGGTGTTGGCATTTTTCTGTTGGTTCAGGCTGGGGACACACTGTCCAACGTAGGTGACAGATATTGGCACGTTATTGTAAATCCAGCACAGGTAGTTTGTGGTATTTAATGTTTGTACCATCCCACTGAGGGCAGAGCCCCACACGCTGCCCTGCAGGACAGAGCTGCGGCAGGGCAGCAGAACATGTTAGAGATAAACAGAATAAACAACCTTGAAACAGCACAGACCAATTATGGCTTCTGCTTTGGCAGCGATGACAGAGACTTTCCACAATCTGGGAATCATTCAAATATCACAGATTCTGTCACCCTGGCACTGAGCTGGCACTGTGCTGTTTTATCTGGGCAATGCCAGGCAGGTACAGGCTGGGACACCTGAGTTCCCTTTGGGGGGCACAGCAGAGCTTGATTTGTGCTGATGGGTTCTAGCACAGAGCCTCTGGAGCAGCCCTTGCATTTATCACCAATAACAAATTCATCATCTGCCACTTTTTCCTTCCCAGCACAGGAATCAGCTTCAAACACTCGCGTTTCCAAACCCTTCTGACTCTGGATTGCAAACCAGCTTGCCAAGGACTCACACCAAGGTCTGGCATGCCTCATCCCACACCAGCAATCCCCGAGCCTCCAAGGGAAAGGTTCTGAGTTGCCTGCACGAAGTGGGCAGGGAAATGCCAAAGCAAACAACCCAGGCCAGGCTGGAGCCCAGAGCTGGCACCAGCGGTGACACCAGCCAGGCTGCAAGCAGCTCACAGAGAACTCCAGCCTGTGGAGACAGAAAAGCTCAGCCTTGCCCAATCTGGCTTCTCCCCATGCCAACACAAGGAAACCTCAGCCAGCGCAGCAGCAGGAGCTCGCTACAACTCAAGGATTTCTGTTTTCCCCAGAAACCACTGAAAACCCACTGAGGGTTCCCACTCTCTGAGCCTCCACGAGCAATTCAGGAATGACAACATCCAGGAGCCATTCCAGAGCATTGCAAAGAACTGCAGCAACTTTAGGATCAAATATCAGCTCTAGAAAATACGATCACAATTGCACAACACGACACTCACGAGTCCCGCAGCGCTTTCTGGAGGGAGGACGGGCGTTGCCTACCTGCCTCTCTGGAAATTTGCATGAAGGACTCGACTCCTTTTTCTCCATAATTCCCTTCAGATGCCAAAGTGGATACATAATTCCATCCCAAAGCTTTCACAATGTCCACCATTGCTTGTGCTTGGAAGGAATCTGGAGGAACCACCCGTGAGAAGAAATCATAGCGCCTGTCATCGCTCAACTCTGGTGCAGTTGAGGCATAACTGATTTGTGGGATCTGTAGAAAAAAACAATTTCTGATAAATATACACATTCACATACTCATGGCACTTCTTGCAGCAGCAGCTAAAGCACCTGGCTTCAGCTGAGCTTTGGCTTTGCTGTGTGCAGCTGCAATCCTCCACCACGCTCCCCTACAACGCTCGAGGCACAGGAGCAGTCCCTGCGTTGGTGTCCAGGCACCCAAACCGAGCTGTGCAGCAGCTGGAGCTGGCTCTGTGTGTGCACACCCCTCACTCCTTCCTGCGAGGAACCAAACACAGCACACAAACCTCCTGAACCACTCTCTGCCCTGCTGTGTGCTGGCTTTGCCCAGCTCGGCATCCTGGCAAAGGGGGGTTGGCTCTACCCTGACAGCGCTGGCTGGAAGCTGGGACACCCTTCCTCAGCCTCAGGAGGATGAAGGCTCCAGGCTTAAGGAAAAGGAGGTTTAGTTTTTATTCCTTCTGATGAAGAACAGTGTGAAGGTTGCTGAGCAGGGACATCTCTGTCCCACAGACCCAGCCTGGGCACGACTCAGCTGTGTCCCAGCAAAGCAGCCACTGCTTCCCCTTCTCTCAGCAGCGTGGAGGAGCCTGGCAGTGACCTTTCCAGCAGAGAGCCCAGAGCAGTGCTGGGGCTGTTCTCCCCTGGGTAACAAAGGCCCCTGAGCAGTTCTGAGCTGACAGGACATTATTCCCCAAGCCCATTGTGCAATTGTTGAGTAAATCTGGGACTGCTCCTGAAGTGAAGGAGCCTGCCCTGCCTCTCACTGCAGACACCAGGGAGGGGAGAGAAGGGATTGCAATGCACACAAACAGTCTGTTTAACACCTGAGCCCTGCAGCCTGAGCACAGGCACCTCCTGCACTCTCAGGTTTGGTCTCTGCATAGCACTCCACAAGCATTTCTCATCCTACAAGCATTTATCAGCTCTCCTGCCTCCTCAGAAAAACAGGCACTGCACTGCCCCAGGATCAGCACTGCACAGGGCTCAGCACCTTCAGCTCCACAGAGAGCAGGGGAAGAGGAGAGCAGATGTCCCCAGAATTCACGTTATATCTACACAGGCATTTGCAGCCCCCACAGCACAGGAAAAGCAGATACCAGAAGCAAAATCACTGCTGGAGAGCCAGAAAAGTGAACAGAGAAATGAACTTTGCATGGAAGAATTATTAACTACCCCAAGAGCTGCTATTCACCCTAAACAAAGCCAAACTCTCACAGAACCATCCATGTCCAGAGCTGGAAGGGACCCCAGGACCACCAGTGCAGACAGCCCAGCAATCCCACCCTGTGCCTGGCCTGGAGCTTCCTGGAGCTTCTTCCCCTCATCCCTGATGCCTCAGGTTTGGCTTTTCTATTTTTCACATTCTGAGCTGCTTTAGTGTGTGGGTCTGAGCTTCACATCAGGGGATGCTGAGCTCTCTGCACAGAGCAGGGAGACAAAACAATTCCTGCTCCAGCTGGGCACCAAGGACAAATGACCCAAATCTCAGCCCAGGAGCACAAACACCGTGGGCTGGAGAGAGAAAAACAAGCAGGGTGGGACTGCCTGGGCTAAAGCTGGAATGGGACAATGAACTCCAAGGTGCCAATGGAGCAGAACTGATCCCAGGGAGAGCCCCCGGGAGCGCTCCTGCATTTTGGGACCATTTTGGTTCATTTGGGTTCATTTTGTGCCATTCTGGTTCATCTTGGGTTCATTTTGGGACCATTTTGGTTCATTTGGGTGCAGCCCTGGCTGGGCTCTGGTGCTGCCCAAGGTGGATCCATGGAGGAGATCCTTCAATAAATCCCTGCTTTATTCTGTGACTCTGCTCCAGGGCAGCACAAAGCATCACCCCAACTGCTGCAGGGCACAGAACCTGCTGGGCACCCTGGCCAGCAAAACCAGGGAAATTCCAGCTTGTCCCTGTCCCAGCTGCTGCTGCCAGCAGGGCCTGGTGACCTCTGGGGGGACATGGACTGGTCACCCACAGTGACACGGACAGCAGCCAGCCCCAACAGAGCAGTGCTGGCACAGCCCAGGGCTGCTTCCTGCACTTAGCAGAGTGAGGCTGAAATACCAGCTTTTATCTGTGGCAAGTTTGTACTCCAACTTGCCAACAACCGCTTTTCCAACTAAAAATCAAAAGGAGAACATTCTGCATTTTTACAGCAACCAAAGCTCCTACAGAATTTGCTGCATTGCTTATATTCCTAAGGAGACCTTTTGGATTTTAAATCTTTTTCCACTGTTCATAAAATATTAACTACTGCTGGCTGCTTCAATCACTTGGAGCATAAAAAGCAGATATCAGGTGTTTTACCAGTGTTTCTAGCAGGATATCTAAAAGCAACATGAAGTTATATACATGTGCCAAGTAGAATTTTCCTCCTGTTCTGTTTAAACACAGGGAAGAGAGTCCTTCAGGGGGTGTGGCAGGGGCTGCAGCCACCAGAATCCCCTGCCCAGGGTGTCAGAGCTGGTTGCAGACTCTGCTAAAGGCACCTTCTGCTCCTGCCCAGCCACCCGTGCACGCCAGCAGCATCCCAGTGGCCAAACTGGGCAGCCACTGCTAAAAATCAGCCCAAATCCAACTGGTGCCCACCAGGGCGCTCCACACAGGCACCTCCAGCTCCTGCCAGCACTGAAGTGCACTTGGAAATAAAAACTTGGAAATAAAAGCGATTGCCCCAGCTCATCGAGAGCCACGGGCAGGCTGGGCAGTGTCCCTGGTCTCTGCTGCAGTGGTGCTGCCCACGGTGTCACTGTGCAGGGCCAAGGGACACCCACAGATTGAGATCAGACTGCTTTGCTGAGGGTTCTTCAGTTACCCAGATAAATATTTTCTGCCTCTCCACCGGTTCATTTTTCTCTCATTTTGGTAAAGTCTGTTCTTTGTCATCAATTCTAAACTGGAGATGAAAGAAGCAAGATTTCTCTTCCATCGCATTTTGCCCATTTTCTGTTCTGACACATCAAAAAGCCCCAGAGAACCAGGCTGTGCTCTCCAAAAGGCCCCAGCACCCTGGCAGGAGGGCTGTGATGCACAGAGCCCCAGGGACCCCAGTCTCCTGGCCCCTGCCTCCAGCAGCACAGCGAGAGCTGGGCTGGAGCTTTGGAGGGACACTGAGGGCAGTGAGGCAGCGTTTCACCTGCGTGGGAAGCAGATGTTCCTCAAGCCCTGTGTTGGCAGGACCGTGGCACACCACACCCAGAGCTCCACACTGGCTTGCCTGGCTGATGTTCTGATTACAGCAAGGGGGAATGATTAATGCTGGCAACATTGTCTTAGTCAGTGATTAATTAATGTTAATTTATTTCTAACATTGACCATTATTCTTCATTTGTTTCATCTTCTCCTGCTAATGAAGAGCTGTCTCTGGGTCACATTTGTTGTCTTGCTCAAAAGCAGCTTGTGCTGGGGAGCAGCTGCAGCAGGAGCAGCAGCACAAACACACCTCAGAGCAAACCCCACTGAAACTGTTCACTGCTCCAGTTTCCATTTCAGACTCACTGGGTGTTATTCTCCAGTCCCAAACCTTCCTTTTCTCCCTGCTCTACAGAGCATTTTCCCAACAAAAATGACAGAATGTTTGAGCTGCTCCCCAAGGGCTCGGGTCTGGTCCTGGAACAAACAGAGCCCAGTGCCAGGGCACACAGACAGTGCCAGGGCACACAGCAGCCCTCCCTGGGGCTGCAGGACTGCCACAGCCTGGCCTGACAAAGCCTGGCCTGCCCAAGCCTGTCCTGCCAAAGCCTGGCCTGCCCAGCCCCAGAGTCACTCCCAGGCCAAGCACCTGCAAACACAAACACAAACACAAACTCAAACACAAACAGCTCTTGCTGCAGGGACTGAGCTCAGCCCCTCCCCAGGCCCTGCTTTAAGATGATGGGGATGCTGCACCTGAGCCCACCTCAGCCAGCCCCAGCAGCCAGGGCACTTCAGAAAAGGCAATTAAGATAATGCAGGAGAGCACCTCCTGAGACGTTAATGAGCTCCTAGCAGGGCAATATCAAGTTCACAGTTTGCTGCGTTTTTACTTTCAATTTCCTCTGAAGTTTTACTGATGTGGTTTCCTGGCAGCAGGGAAACCTCACCCTGCTCTGGCAGAGCCCTGGAACCCATCACGTCTGGCAGGGCAGTGCCAGGCTACAGACACTGCAAATCCTCCCAGCTTCACCAAAATCAGCTGCCTGGGGCCTGCACCCAGCTGCAAAACTCTGCTGTGAGCTGGTGGGTGAGTAACAGCCTGGGATTTGTTCAGTTCGGCTTTTATTCTGTTCAGATCTGTTCTGATCAGGTTTTATTCATGTAGAAATCTATCAGGTTTCTTCCATCCTCAGCACAGCTCCTCTTTGTGCCCCATGCCCATCCCAAACTGCAGAACAGACAGCTCCAGCATCCTGAGCTGCAGAGAGCTGCTTCCCCTGTCTGGAGCTCAAGTTACTAAAGTTTCCCCCAGCTATTTTCTCTGGGTAAAACCCCTCCAGACTCTTCTCATTCTCCCCTTGCCTTCTGAACAGGAAGGATTTTTGGGAGGCAGTTCTAAAAGTCCAGACACCCACGGGAAGCTGTCCCTGCCCTTGGCAGGGGGTTGAACAGACCTTTGAGCCCCCTGGAACCCAAACCATGCTGTGATTCTGTGAAAACTTCACCCAATACACGAAATAAGGTCAGAGCTTGTGAAGATAACAGGAACAGAAGTTCTTGCTGTTTCCAGTGGCTGAACTGGAGCTCAGCATTTCCTCAGGAGCTGCTGGCCCTGGGGCACAGCACAGAGAACATCTCTGCCTCCTGCTCCCCTCCTGCCCAGGCTGGCAGGACCCTGCCAAGGTGTCCTGCAGCAGCACCTGCCCTCCCTGTGCCCTGACAGGTGCACAGAAAACCAACATTCCTGCAGGTGCACAGAAAACCAACATTCCTGCCGGTGCTCAAAAAAAGAAACATTCCTGCAGGTGCACAGAAAACCAACATTCCTGCAGGTGCACAGAAAACCAACACTCCTGCAGGTGAACAGAAAACCAACACTC